CAAATCCCAGCCGCTGCTGAAAATGCCCAGCGGCTGACTACAGGAAGCCCGAGGCAGAGTTGCTCTGCTCTGGGCTTCCTGGAATCAGCTGCCGATCAATTTCAGCAGCAGCAGCTGACTTGGGGACGCCTGGTGTTCTTACCTTGAATCTGTATGTAAGTGGAACTGGTGTCCAGATTCAGCAGCTGTTGAAACTGATCAGTTTCAGCAGCGGCTGATGCCAGTTCCGACTTACATACAGATTCAACTTAAGAACAAACCTACAGTCCCTATCTTGTACGTAACCCGGGGACTGCCTGTACTGTATATTCTTGAGTCAGTTGGTACTTTTAGCAGAAAAATCCAGCTAACACGCTTAGCCATTGGCGATGGATGCAGTGGCCAGAATTTAGAAGTGGAAAGCTACTGATGAGGTGGGGAAAATAGGCATTTGAAGTCTACTCTCCAGCCCCTTCACCCAATTAACATAAGAATAATCATATTGATATAGACCAAAGAGATGTAAAAATACATTAACTGTGTAACCGACCAAAATTCTATTGGTTACAATGTTAACTGCGTGACTGCTAGCTCCTGGGCTGGAGCAGCATGCTGCAGGTGGGGGTCTGCTCCGGCTGTGCTGGGCACCGGTTAACCAGTAAGCATCACTCAGTAAATAGGATGCTTATTGGGTAATTGGTTAACCCATTACCCGTTTACATCCCTAGACCAAAGATTCATCTAGCCCAATATCCTGTCTTCCAATAGTAATCAATCCAGGTGCCAGAGGGAACAAACATGACAGGCAATCGCCAAGTGATCCATCTCCTGCTGTCCATTCCCAGCTTCTGGCAAACAGACGCTAGGGACACCATCCCATGCCCATCGTTGGTAACAGCCACTGATGGACCTGTCCATGACTTTATCTAGTTCTTTTTTGAATCCTGCTATAATCTAGTTGTAATCATTGTTCTTGAAGAAAAGTGAAAGAGAAAATTGCAATGTATTTCTCCTTTTTCCTAGTACCAAAAACCTCAGCCGCCTCCTATATGCCAAAACCCTGCACCATGTCCCTTGCATTCCTACGCTGAAGACATGTGCAACTCCAATCACGCTGCCAAAACCTCTAAGTATATTAAATTATAGACAGACTTAATACAAAGAATTATGTAAACTGATGAGGTGAATTATGTAAACTACTGAGAAACATGTTCAAGTTGTATAAAAATACTGAAATCATGTTAATTTTCATGCTATCCAATAAAGAACTCAGTATTTTAAAAGTACCTGTAGCTACCTTAGCATTTCCAATTTGCTGCTGAAAATCTATAAGCCTTGCCATAGGGTTTTGGTATAGCTTGTCAGAGAGGACACAGGTGCTTGGTAAAATTAAAGCCCTGACAATGTGTTCTCTTTCAATATTCAACAGCACTTTTCATAGTTAGGAGAATTAATTCTTAACCTAATTTCCTAGCCAAATTTTCCATAGATGCTCCCTCTGCAGTTTCAAATGAATACAGTATTTCCATCAGTGATCACCACCAAATATACTTCCTGTCCCTATTCAGTTTTGCTACATAGTGCTGCCTCTCACCATAAAGTTACATAAAGTATATGCTATTCAAGGCAAAAGGGTGTGAAAATTTATAAAACCAGTTATTTGGAAATTAGGGATGTAAGGGAGTAGACAACTACCAGATGAGCATATGCCTATTGGGTAGTTAAGATGACTACTTGCTTCCCCACCACTTACTGACTCTGTGTTAAAAGCAGCAAGGCGGTGGGGGGAGCAGGAGCCAGTGCAGGCAGGAGCCAGCTTAAAAGCTGGTCCTCCACAGCACCATCTCCATGATCCGGGGGTGGAGGGGAGGAGAGACAGCATTCCAGAGCCAGCACGAGCCAGGACTGTTCAAGTTCTGGCTTGCGCCAGCCCCAGGAACTAATCCTGCTGTGGCTCTGTATTTTAAATGCAGAGCCACAGTGGAGGTAGTTTCTGGGGCTGGTGTAAGCTGGGACTAAACAGTCCCAATTCATGCCAGCTCTGGGACACTGCAGCTCTGCATTTTAAATGTAGTAAGAGCCCATCAAACTCTTAAAATTCAGAGCTGCAGCTGGGGTAGCGAGCACTCCACCCACCCCCTTGACTAATCAAGTAGTCAATGGAAATTCCATCAACTATTTGATAAGCTGATTAACCTCAAATTAACATACCTAGTGGAAATATCTAATTTGATATTAATGAGGCTCTTTCACTCTCAGATAGCTTTGAGAAAACAATCCTTACAATAGGATCACTAAGCAGATTAATATAAAGTGCTTGGATTATTTCTCAAAGGACTTTGTAAGATTTACAGCACCTAGGGATGCACTCAAAATTGATGACTATCAAGATGTCTCATGTAAAATCTGTCTTCTCGATGAGAGAGTGTTCAGATACTTGTCTCTGAATATTCAGGATAGGCTCCTTGTATTACAAGATGTGTTCTTTTAGGTCATTGCAATAATGCCTCCCCTCAGTTTCCTGCCATGTCAAATCTATTTCACAACATAGCTCACTCATGATTTCAGATCTCTATATGCCAAATCAATGCCCTAGCCAGGCAGTTCTGTTGTCTCTTCAGATCTTTTTCAGGAGTTACAATTAAAATCCCTGAATATTCATATTATAGCTTCAATAAAATAAAAACAATTTATCACTAAGGCTAACAAGAGCAGAAAAACCATGTACCAAACCATGCTATTAAGATTTATTCCTGTTGCAGACAGCTACCCAACCACATCCCACCATACTTCCAAATACCTTTAGGTCACCAGCCTCAGGTTTTTCAGTCTCTGAATCGTCATCTTCCTACAAGACAAGAATTTACAGGATTAAGCTTAAAGGGTGGGCTTGGCAAGTTCCTGCATATATAGCAAGGGGCTTGCATTCAACAGCCCAGTGACAGTCTAAGACCCTTCCAATCAACAAGTCATCATGAGCTCTATCCCTCCCCTTTGCATGATCAAGAAATGAAATCAGATAAACCATGGAAGAGAGTTGTTTAGCAGAAGCACAACTCCAAGTAGCAAATATTCCTTGCAGAGTTCATACAGCTCCTGAACATTAAAAACCGGACAGTAATAGATAGCAAGCTTTTGTCACCCGATAATACCAGCACTTAGTTTTTGCTTGCTCTTGCTCAGCAATCAGCACAGAAAAAGCAGCGTTTACAAGACCTACTGCATGCCAAGCACACTCCAGCAACATACACAGGACACTGCTTGCCTGACATCCCACACAGCATGCGGGCTTGGTAGCACTAAGCCAGACTCACAAGCTTCAAAGATCCAGTGATGCCTGCATACACTGCATCTTTTCCATTCTAGTTTAGCACCCTAAGTTGCTTTCACACAGCTTCAAAACACAGAGGAGGAAACAGCTGGTGTTTGGAAGGATTTATTTCCACAGTTTCCATCCAGAAGTATGAGCCAGATGTTGCACAAGATGCCACCATGAAAAGAATTTTTGAAGTGCATCATCATGATAAAGTTTGTGACCTATGGTTTTACTAATAGGACTGATGATCAGGTGTGCCGACACTGCTCCATTGGCATAACTTGGGTCATACAGAGTTACAGATCTTTAGAAGTAAATACATTACTCAAGTCAAAATAGGTCTCTAGTAAAAATAGAATGATTATTTTTTGTCCTCCCATATCTTAAAGACTGCTGACCCAGATTTCCCCCAAACTTCTTCATTCAGTTTAACTCTGACCTGAAACCGAACACTTGATGTGTGAGATTCAAAAAAAAAAAAAAAAAAATTAGAACATTAAAAATTGAAAGGTAAGTTGCTACTGAAAGTGACATGTCAGTCTTAACCAGCATGTCAATCAGAAAATTCAATTTAAATTATCTATATAAATATCAGAGAATAATATAATGTTTATATCAGACTCATGGTCTTTTATCAATGAGAAGATGGACCCTTTGTTTAAAATAGCTATTAAATCAAAGAGAACATGGAGTGCAGTATTTCCATGAATATTAAGCCTGAGACAATGTAAAGGGTTTTAAAAAGTCTGCTACTTAACATTTAGGTATTATTTACAAAACCAAATATACAAATTTACAGAGGACTATTCAAGGAAGTAGCTTAGCAGCTAATGCCATGGCCAACACAGTCTCCAAAAACACATGGAAAAACAGACAAAGGCCTATTCAAAGTTCAACTTGCCTGGCTCTTAGAATGCCAACAAACCTGGACTCAAGTAAATCAGGTGAAGTAGCAAATTCCAAAGTTAGAAACCTTCCACGAAGGTGGTTCTAATGCTGATTCTTGACGTGTCCGAGAAAATGATGTTTTACTATTGCAACAGTTGATAAGATGAGCCAGTCTATGTAACTGGGTCATAGACTACCATAGGCTATAAGTCACTTACTATCCATAGACTTCCAGCTATGCAAGTACAGAGTTTCGAAAAAATGTTAGATGTGCACCACATCTTGACCCCTGGGATGGTGCATAGCTATAATACATATTCCAAGAAATTGTGCATGCTTGAAAGAAAAAACAAAACAAAACCAAAAAAAACCCCTACTTTTCAGTGCTAAACAAGAAAGTTCTTCTGGCAAGAATTTCAGTCTAGCCATCAGTTTCTACAAAATATAAGGTCTCACGTCTTTAAAAACATAAAGAGATACTTTTAGCCCTTATGGTTGCCAAAATAACCTTCCAAACGCTATGAAACCACTAGTTTATACTCTTTACAAGCACCCAATGTCTACTTCAGTGTCTCTGCTGTCACAGCTTTTCTATGCTGCAAAAGAATTTAACAAGAACAGCCTGTTTCATTTCTGCTAATCAGGGCTAGAGAAAATATAAAACTTAAGTTCCAGCTGTAGTTTGGAACAGCTAAGAGCAGCAGACACTGAAATTAATCACAATGGAGTGTCACAAAAAATAGAATTTGTGAAGGATTATAGCAACAGTGAACACTTCCCTACTGTACTCCTCACAGCAGATGAAAGGCTGGAGAAAGGCGCAAAAAAGCGGAGATACAATCTTGTACCAATCATACAATCAGGCCCACCAACCAGGAGGTTTTTTTGGGGGGGGCGCGAGAGGGGCGCGGAAGGGGAGGGGAGGAAGAGGGAAAAGTCACCAGTGACGCTCCAGGTAGCAACAAGGGTTGGCTGGTGTACTACTAGCGGCACTTACAGCTGACTGTCTCCAGCCACATCCCTTCTGGGAGCATGGAGCCATTGCCCCACCCACACCTTGGCCAGGGACCCAGAAATTCTGTCAGCCCTCCTGCAGCCAATAGACTATGGAGGACAAGGAGAGCAAAGCTTCTCTCTTCCTTTCTGCAGCTAGAGGAGGGAGTGAGTTTTATGTTTCTCAGCCACTGACTACCAAGGGTTGAATACAGAAGATAAATCCTCTTAGCTGGATGGAACCCTAAAATAGCTTTCCAACTTCCCCATTCTTATCAGCTGGGTTTCTCACAAGGCCACTGCCCAGAGCCTTCATGATGAGACTGCCCACCCTTTTGTATCTCAAAACTATATTTGGCTGCTAGATGCCTTGTAAAGTTCCTATGCATTGTATGTCTGAAGGATGCCTTTCAATACACTTTACCTTGTTATTTAAGTGCTATTACAAAACATGCCATGCTTTTACAAACAAAAGCCATACAGATCTAGACAAAGAAAACCTGCTACACCAACGTATTGATGTTGTTAAGTGGGATTGTACACACAAAAAAACCAAAATGATGCTCCTATGTTTCAATCCTGCTAATCCTCCAGTCTGATCCTGCAAAAGCTAGCTGCCCATTATAGGACTTTCCCCATGCTTCTTAAAAGTGCAGCTGAGCTTTCCACCACCCTTCTCCATTTTTCCACTACAGGATTTCATACACCAATTTTGTATATTAAGAAATGAAGGTTTATTTTACACTTCTACTATCAATTCAAAGCCAGTAGCTTACCTTATCCATGAAGCAAAATCAAAATAGCAACTAAAAGTTAGCAACAAGAAGCACAAATGAATGGAGCTGATATTTTTAAAGGCAGAGTTCTTTCAATTTTAAGAGAGACAAAAGGAAATGAAATTATTTGTTGAGCATAGTTTGGTGGCTGAAGGAGAGGATAAAGAGTCTGGATTTCTGCATTCCATTCTTAGTTCACAGGTGGTAAAATGGCTTGTTAAGGAGGCATTTTGAAATCCCTAAACAGAACTATAGAAATATGCACTAACAAAATATTTAAACAGGAAGACTGACCAGCTGGAATAAGAGGACAAACTACTTACTGAATGTCTACTGTTTTCATCATCTTCTTCCTCATACCCATCCTCATCTTCCTCCAAACGAGAGAAATCATCTTCACCATATGCTTCTGACACCAGACCTCCTTTTTCTTCTAGTCCATGCACAGGAAGAAGAAAAGAAAAAAGCATAATCAAGGCATTAACAACTTAGATCAGAGTGGATTAAAAAAAATCTATTTTAATCATAATTTAAATTTAAAATAACACTTAATTTGAAGCTACTAGAACCTGTGTTGAAGACTAAGTTCAGTATAGACAAATCATTTAAATCAAACACTTACTAGTACTTGTTTTTCTTTTGAAGTTTTAAAGAAAAAAGCCACTAAATCAGTTGAAGTCACAGACTCTACTAAAGTGCTACACCAATTTTTGACAGCAGTTGCCTCTTCTCAAAGTGCAGAGAGAATATTTTCTTCATTTCAGTGTGTTATTGGACTGAACTAGTTTAATAAAGTTAAGAAAGCAACTGGAAAATGAAAAAGAGCAGTAAAGCTTTTTTTCTTCCAATCTAATAATAAGAAATAGATAGGAAGAGATGAGATCTATTACTTCTAAAATGCTGAAGGACTCGGTGGAAAAAAAAAATCAGTTCAATTCATAGACTAGATACTTTGCTTATTAAGTATCAGAGGGGTAGCAGTGTTAGTCTGAATCTGCAAAAGCGGCGAGGAGTCCTGTGGCACCTTATAGACTAACTGAAGTGTAGGACCATAAGCTTTCATGGGCAAAGACCCACTTCGTCAGACTCCTCGCCGCTTTTGCTTATTAAGTTAGTTTTGTAAAATGTGTTATGATAATTTACTCCTTTATGTAATCAACACACTTACGGTCAGGGCTCGACAATCTATGTAATCAACTCGCCCGTGGCGAGTAGATTACATCCCGGAAGAGCTGGGTTCGGGTGATCTGTGCGGCTCAGCGAGCCCTGCTTATGGTTGTTTTATTTATTAATAAAAAACAATATTAAAATGATGGATTTGTAGTTTTAAATTAATTCCAGTTTCTACCTAAGGACAGCTTGACAGTCAATGACGACTAAAAAAAAACCTGATCTAGTAAAAACAGAAATGCTGACAATTGCATTTCTTAATATAGTAAAAAATGTAAAACTTAAGGATCTAAATAAATGTATGTGAAGCTATTTAACTGGCTAAACATTTAGAACACTAGTGCATCCTCTTGATTAGCAATATTTAGTATAGTGGCTATATTTTAGTTACAAATTAACATATTAGAATGCTTACCTCTCAGCATCAACCATTTTTTAGGAAATGGCTTAAAAAGTACAAATGCAAAAATAGATTAAGAAAAATCCACCCTGATTTAGCTGGGACGCTGTCATAGTAACAAGCACGGAGCTTTGCTATAATCAGATTCAAATGTAGGACTAGATAGATCATCAGAACCAGCGGTTCTCAACTAAGAGCCCCTTCGGAGTGTCTGCCATGCAGGGCTACTCAGAGCCCAGCATCCCACTGAGCAATGGAACATGTTGGGAATGTCTCCAAAAGGCACAGGTTGAGAATCCCTACTCTAGATCCATCTCCCACTGAGGGCAGACTAAGTATTATCTACACCAGGGGTGGGGAACCTTTTTTCTATCGTGGCCACTGGCCCACAGGAAAAAAAGCAGTCATGGGCCACACACAATCCCATGGGGAAGCAAGGCGGTTTAGGGCTTTCCCCTGCAGTAGGGTGACCCAGTGCTTGAGTCTCCAGCCCCATGGGGGGAGTGGCGCAGAGGCTCAAGGCTTCCCCAGAGTGAAGCCAGAAATGAGTTATTTAGGGTACAGGATGAAGCAGAGAACTGGGGTGGGGCAGGGAGAAGGTTCTGGCTGGGGGCATGGGTTCTGGATTGGGGCTGGAGGGCAGAGGCTTGGCATGCAGGAGCATGCTCAGGGATAGGGCAGAACACTGGGGTGTATTATGGATTTTAGGGTGCAGGCTCTGGCCTGGAGGTACTCAACTCAAGCAGCTCCTTGTTGGCAGTGCAGCCCTGCTTCTGTGCTGATCCACGAAGTGGCCAGCATGTCCAGTCCCTAGGCAGAGAGGCCAGGCTGCTCCGTACCACTGCAGAAGCTGCCTGCACCGGGCTGCAGTTGCTGGTTAAAGAGAGCTGTAGAACTGGCGCTAGGGCAGCATACAGGGATTTGCTGATTGCCACTGCAACTAGGAGCTGCAAGGACAGGGTTGGGGCTGCTGACCTGTGACATGAAGACCTGCTGGGACCAGACGAAGTAATAGGCCATAGGTTTCCAACCCCAACGTAGACCATTCTTTGACAAGCATTTGTCTAACCCAGGGGTCTGCAACCTTTCAAAGAAGGAGAGGCTTTTTTTGTTCTAGACTAACGTCCCAAGAGCTGCAACACACACAAACAATTTTACACAAAGAGAGCATGTTCGGGGGGGAGGGGTTGTAAGAGAGAGCTTGGGGTGGAGGAAGTGATGTCACTTGCTGGCTCTATAACAGGGTTGTTGTTTGAGGGTTGTTGTATAGCCTCCTGCCGGGCAGCATTTACCACAGGCAGCTCCCAGTTGGCGGTACAGCAGGCCTAAGGCGGGCTTCCTATATGTTCCAATGTCATGCTTCTCCCAGAAGAAAGCAACACACCCCTATAGCTCTGGAGGCTGGGGGCCCAGGCTCAGTGGGCTGTGCCGCTCTGCTGTCACTGCCCCCTAGCTCCCATTGGCCATGGTTCCCTGTTTCCCACCAATGGAAGATGCCAGAATGATGCTTGGCTGGAGCCACATGCAGAGATCCCTGACCCCATCTCCATGGGGCCATGCTGGCTGCAACCCAGCTCTGCTGCAAGCGGCTCCAGAGACATAGGTTGCCAACTCCTGGTCTACCCTGTTATTAAAAAGAACTAATGGAGATTGCGCAATCTCCCTGTGTAATTTGTTTCAGTGCTTAACTATTCTTACAGTTACAAAGATTTTCTTGTTGTTGAACCAAATTACCCTTGCTGCAGGTTAAGCCCCTTTCCTCATGTCCTGTCCTCAATGGACAATATCATACTCTTTATAACAAAACAACTTTTTACATTCCTTGAAGACTATTCTGTCCACCTCAGTTTGGTTTGTTTAATCTTCCCTCATAAATCATATCTTCTAGACCACTGTTTCTCAACCATTGGTACGAGTATCCTTAGGGGTACTTGCAGGGTTGTCAGATGGCTGAAATGAAAATACCAAACACCGCCCGCCCCCCCCCCCAAAAAAAAAACACCGGGCTGGGGGGGGGGGAAAAGGGGGGGGGAACCAAAGTTGTTGAGAAAAAACACAACACACTAAAACACCATTAAAACAGCATGGCACCTTTCAGAGTATGTGCAGAGTCAGAATGGGATAGGAACAGGGGAGGAGTTGAGCACTAAGACCCAGGGAAGGCATTTCTTCCCCTTGGTCTTAAGGCTTTTTGCTGGCAGCCATTTTGTTTTCTTGATCAAGCCAGAACGCAGCTTCCCTGCGGAACCAGGTAAGCAGGGGGTCCGGAGGCTGGGGGTGTCAGGAGCCAGGGGCTGGGCCCAGTTGCCGGGCTTCTCCTCCTCCTCCCCCCACTGCCACCGGGAGCCCTCAGTCGGTTGAATTGCGGCCCCGTCTCCCAGCTGGGACTCCCAGCCGTTCCCCCTGCCCATGCCAGGCTTCCGTCTGGTGCGCAGCCGGAAAAATCAGAAAATAACAGACATTGCACATGTCTGGTATTTTCTGATTTTTTTTTGTAACTGGACAGAGCATGCAAATACCGGACTGTCTAGTACAATACCAGACACCTGGCAACCCTAGATACTCGAGAGAAGTCGGGGGTGGGTGGGAGGAGAGATGTCAACAATTGAAATTTGGAGAAAGCTGAATTTTTGTTTTAAGTTTTACAGCACTTTATTAATTTTACACCCAAAAATTTCATCGCCTGCCCGGCTATGATTAAGTTGTTTAAACAAATGTGTCGCAATAGTAGAAAAAAATGTGTGTGTGTCTGAAAACTAAGTACTGGGAGTACTTTTTTTTTTTTAAAGGGGTATTTTATTTAAAAAAAAAAAGGTTGAGAAACGCTGTTCTAGACCTTTAATCATTTATGCTGTTTTTCTCTGGACTTTCTCCATTTTGTGCACTTAAGTCCTGAAGTGCAGTGCCCAGAACTGGACACCATACTCCATCTTGAGGCTTTATTAGTATTGAGTAGAGTGGAAGAATTGCTTCACATACTTTGCTTACAACATTCACAGAAAGTTTACTTTTTTCTTTTGAAAAAAACCCACCAATTACACAGTTCTCATCTTAAATTTATGATCCACTATAATCCCAAGATCTTTTTCTACAACATTCCTTCCTAGGCATTCATTTTCCATTTGCACAACAGTACTTTACATTTGTTCTTGTTGAATTTCATCCTATTTTTTCAGAACAGTTTGTCCCTCCAAACTCTCAAGATCATTTAAAATTATAATTTTAATCTTTCAACATGCTTAGAACACTTGTCAGCTTGATATTGCCTGACAACTAGTCATGCTATTATCCAAATCGTTTATGAACATCTTGTATAGAACTGGACCCAGGACAGATTCTTGTGGGACCCCCTCAATAAACCCTTCCAACTGGACTGTGAGCCATTCATATCTATCCTCCAAATAGTTTTCCAACCACTTGCATGCATATGTAGATCTGCCCTCAGTCCACTAACAGCTTAGCCCTGCCATATTATCTGTGGGCAGAAGAACCCACATTTCACTTTAGCTGGGTTGTGAGCAGCTGTAAGGATCCACCCATGTGGATCTCTAAGGTGCTACAGGACCATTGTTGTTTTTAAAATTTTGTTAGTTACAGATTAACATGGCTACCTCTCTGAGACTTTCAAAATGGTTATAGTATTACATTCACAACACAACTTTCAATGGCTTTTTAGTCTCAGATATAACTAGAACTAGTACCTATATACATTTTTATATTACCAGATTATTTAATTTACAAAGTACAGCAATGAAGGGAGAACATTAAATCCTTTCTTTTACGAAATTGCAAATATTCCATGGAGTTGCTTCATAGTATCCTACTACAGTTTTCACTTTGTCTATACAGGGCTTTATAGTGTG